GCTTCACTCAGAAGCTTATTTTGCAAATTTACAGAAGAATAGCCTCTAAATCTGCAGGAGTCATAGCTGGCTGCCTGTATTTGGGGGTAATCAAGGCTGAACCAGATGAACTGAGCAGGCTGTTCAAACAGATTGAGCTTGCAATAGCCCTTCGCTGCTGATTACCCTGTCCCTGGCTTGCAGTGCAAGTTTTCGGCTAGTAAGCCCACTGTGCCTGCAAATAAGACTTGGCATGCTCTGTGCTGGCAAAATATTTTTAAGACATTGTGATCAAATGATCCATCTCTTCATGCATGTACATAAGTTGAGCTCTAAATCATTTGCCTTGCCAAAATCAACTGGACAGCGAAGGAGAGGGAGTTGTATAGATTCCCTATCAAAAATGTAAGGGTAGCAGTTCACACTAACAAATCGGTAAGACTTCATAAGTTTAAACACTTAACCTTATCTTGAGGGCTCATCCTTAATGAGGTCCTTTGTATTCACATAACCAGTGGCATAAGGGCACTCAAAATATTACTGGAATAGTTAATATTCTGTGTGGGCACTCTGTTCTGTACTGAGCTCTCAAAGTTGACTCATTCACAGGCAACTGCTGCAAAAGCAAGGGCTGAACGGGATGAGGTGGTTTCTTTGGCATTGTGTTGAGGTTGGATTGACTAAATAGATTATTTACTTCTATGCAATAGACCTAGGAAGCCAGGTTTGTTTGCTGTTTGATACATACGGTTTCACATATCACTCTCTGCTTTCAGTGTGGCAGATAAGATATCAACACAATTAAAAGTGAAAAATAATCTGTCTGCTCTGCCACTGGTGGATGCTCAGGGAACACACGCTGATACAATAGATTTCTGAATAATTTATACTCAGCATTTTTTCCTTGCACTCGGTAAATGAGGATGCCTAATGTGGCATGGTCAGAGTGATACTCTATCTGTCATCCATTAAGATAACAAGATTGGTGGGCCTGGGAGGAGCGTGGCATGATACACAGAAAAGATGAGATTAAAAATTGAAATGTTTGTCCGAAATGTTCTGTGTAAAGAATGCTGATAAAAGCAGTTGAGAAAAACAGAATTAATTCAAAAGTGTGATTTCCACAAAGCTTTGTCTTCTCTAAAATAAATACACAAGATCCATGTTCCTTTCAAAAGTTATGGATAAAAGGAATATCGGAGTAAATCACTGTTCCTGATAGGCCTTCAGTAGCTTCCTCTACTTTAAATTCAAGTACTTTGTAGGTGCTATCAAAAACAATTATGTATGACAGTAATGCTTTATGTCTCACAGAATGGGATTTTCTTTTATATTCATAAGGCTTTTTAAATTACAAAGAAAGAATCATTTGTGATTGTTTTTGGCACTGGAGTGTCTCATCTCCCATCACAAGGTGTTAATTTGGATGAGGTACTAAACTATTTGCATAAAAAATGGCTCATGTAAATATTCAGCCAAACAGATTCATTTCAAGGTGATTGTACTATAGGAGGTAGTATATTGTTTTCCAAGAGCCAATAGGCACTAGAAGTTGATTAGTTTATAAGCAGTGGTGGTTTTCAGTCTCTGAAGTTTCTGACAACTGCTTAACATCAGGTCACATTTGGATTTTCTTGGTTTTTGAAGAAACTATTCGGGTTGTGAGGATCAGATGGGAGTCATTTGACAGAAAACACTTGGAGGAAACCTTAGGCTTGCTTCTAACTTCAGTATTTTTAGTGAAAAGGCCACTGTTCTTATACCTATGCTATTTGGAGTCCAGCCTTGCAAGGGTTTGAATGTGCTTTTCTATTTAACTGGGCAGCAAGCATCTGCTCTGCCATCTCCATGTCCCGCAGTTTTCTTTCACTGCAGAGCTGCAGTCAGGGTCCAAACCCCCTGCAGAGGGAAACATGGGACACTCTTTTTTTTTCAGCCTAGATTCAGGAAATACCTCTGAGCATGACCCTGCTTGCAGTGCCACACATAACTTGTGGCTGCACAGCACCAGGCGTCTGGAGGCAGGTGGGGAAACTGAGCCACCACTGCCCAGCAAATGATGCTACTCACCCGCCAGTGCCTGAACTCCTGTCCCTCCCCCTAGGATGGCTTGGTTTGGGATTTGTATGCAAAGATAATTATAATCTTAGTGCCTGTCCAGAGGAATATTTCAAAATCTAATCTTTTTGATGATGTATTGCTGAACTTTTAAAATGAGTTTGTCACAAATCTTACAAGGAATGGTATCCCAGTGCTAATTTGGGGAATACTTGTGAGTGAGTACTAATACATTGTAGAGAACCATGTCCTTAGCTTTGACCAGGACCTCATTACACCTTTTTTTATCTGAATATTTTGTGTAAACAAGTTCATTTTTATTTATGTTCCATGAGTAAATCAAGGAAGAAAATCAAATACAGGTGTTAGAAAGCAATTTGTTAAACAGCAGTCAAAGCTTCCACAATTAGTATCCTCTATATCTTTCACTCTGTGGAGGACATTGCCTGGGGAGGTTAGGCTGATGAGGAAACTGTCTTCATTTTGACCTGGAGATCTGCTTTTTCCAAATTTGTTCTTCTTAAGCCTTTTTTATTAGTAATGAGTTCATGAATGCTTTATACTTGCTGTCTGCAGATGGATCACATTTTTCAGTTGCGCTGTGTGGTCAGCTTTGACTGGTAAGGACTGAGGCAGCCTCCTCTGCTTTCCTTCCTGGTAATTAAATACAATTAAATATAATTAAATAATTATATTTTATTGTTTATTATTATTCTATTGTTTAATTTTTAATTAAATAATTAAACCCTGGCTTATAAGGATGCACACCCTGCAGCTATATATCAGAACAACCGATCAGTAGGTGCCATTAGCTATTGGTTATATTTTGGTAAAGTACAGATGTATTTGGAGAAGACTGTTTCTTCTTTTCCCAGTATTGGGTGACTTGTTCATTTGGGCCATTTTGTTTCTTGCCCTATCAGGCTTGTGGTAGGAGAGTAATGCCATTGGTGGCTGTGGGTGTTAAATCACCTGCAGCAGCACTGGATTAGGCTGGTGTGGCTGCCAAAAAATTTACCAGTTTTGGTTTGTCCTGCGTGCTTCCAGCTAGAAAGTGGTGAGCAAATAAGCTGTAGAGAGACCCTTGAAACAGCACAGCTCACATTTTCTGCCTGTTGAATTAAAACAAAGTAGACACCATAGGTGCCTCACTGTTGTTAGCCACATAAGCAATTACCCCAGAGCCAGGCATCACAGGGGAATATCAAAGCAAGAAAGGAGTGAATATTGCCATAAATTTTCTTTTTTGGTGAGTAAACAAGTGTATGTACACTTGCCATACTTGCCATTGCAACAATTCAAGCAGTGTTAATGTTCGGAAGTGTAGAATATAAAATAGCAGCATTTATTGATAACTTGAAAGTTTTAATTATCCAAACAAATAGCTTTAAATTATTCTTCTGTGTCCAGTAGCTTAAGAAAAAGATGTGCAGAGTTTTTATTTACCTGTTTGATGACAGTATTTATATATCTCCTAAAGCAGAGGAGCTAACCTCAGGATGAGGCTTGCCTGTGCAAGAGTTGCAGAAAACTCTTGCCAGGGGTTACGTGATTAAGGAGGCATTTTTCAGTTCTGAGTGAATCTGAGGTATTTTCATAACATTAGCATCTATAGCACATTGGTTGTGCTAGGAATTTATGACCAGCCCTTACTGCCTGCCCTACCACTCCCTGATCATACAGCCAGAAAGTCTCTCAGTCAGCTCTGAACGATGGGAGTTCTGTCTTTTGAACTGCTCACGTATCTCGGTGAGCGCTTCAAGGAGAGGAGAGCCAATTTCATAGCTTACCATGATTGCATCTTTAGACAAATGCATTGTGGGCACAGAGCTATCGTCTGTGGCATCAGGTTTACAGCTTCCCTGTAGGGTGTAAACATGCGGCTGGTTGAAGAGTTTTAACCTCTCAAGCCCTCCAACAAATATTAAATTGCTAACTATTCTTCCATAATGCTGTGATGTTGACTGAAATTTGACCCTGGTGCTTGCTGAAACTATTTTCAAAATCTGAGTGAGAAGGTTAAATAGTGCTGTCAAATTTCCAAATATCTGTTGCAGAAATACTTTCACTGAATATCTCTGGGTTGAGCTCTAAAATGCTTAAAGTAATCCTCTTTTTTTTCTTCATTATTACATGATATTATCTAAAGCTTGGGGTTTAGTGCAGATAAAGAAATGAACTTGGGTTTTGCCTTTTTTCTGTGCCACCTAACCTTACCATTTATGGCTATTTTTCTCTTTTTTGCTTGTTGAAGGAGGAGTTCAGTTAAATGGTGTTCCTTAAGTACAAACCAGACCTCTAGGTTTCTTAATTTCTGTTCAAGATCATTGTAATTACTTGATTATTTTCACAGCTGTATCTGAGTAAGAAAAAAAAGTGCTGTAATTGGCAACTTTTACAAGTTTACAACTCAATAACCTGATACTGGAACTCTTCCACCTGCAGAAGCCTCATTAATTGCCACAGGAGTTTTCAGCAGTTAAGAGACCTGGGTTTCAAATTATTTCTCTTTTGAGGTGCAGCCTTCGAACTAGAGAATCTCTGCAGTAACGAAAATAGATGGGACCTTCAGGCTGAGAGAGTCTGCTTGTTATTGGATGAGTGTGTGACTTCCAAGTGGATCTGTTAGGAAGGCTGCTGTTTACCCAACTCGTTAGTTACATTCATAAGCTCTAACCATTTTTAGTTGAGCTTTTTTGTAAAATCTAGGGCTTCATTTCCTGAATGCTCTTACTAGTTCTAGCTTTGTTTATTTTGGCCTTAGGTTGCATTAGATAATTAGTTTTATTTAAGAGATGAGTCTTATGTTGCAACAAACAGTACTAAATTATAGTAAGACTGAGGCTCACTTACCAGCCGTAACTTTGAATTTATTTTGTTATTTTAAAGCAACATTTGTGCCTGTCTCTAAGGTTTATGGAAAGCTCAGAAGCTTACTTGATTTCTTTCTTTCTTGATTCCAGGGCTTTTTCCGCCGGAGTATCCAGAAGAACATGGTTTACACATGTCACAGAGATAAAAACTGTGTTATCAATAAAGTTACCAGAAATCGATGCCAGTACTGCAGACTACAGAAGTGCTTTGAAGTGGGAATGTCCAAAGAATGTAAGTTGTCTCAGAAACAATTTATTGTTTGTCATATCCTACATATATGTGGCAGTCTTAAGGGGAAAAAAAATATGATGCAATGATGTGATTGAAGCCAGTATCTGCGTTCATATGGAGGGAAAGGAGTATGAATTTGGTGCACAACTTCAGATCTGTATTTACAGACTTCTGAGTCCTTAACTCTGCAGCCTAAAAGCTGTGTGTTCTTACTGCCTGGACCCTCTCTGAAAGGTGAAACTAGCTGGCAAATGCTCTTCTCTAAACCTGCAAAGCCAGTAAACCTGACTATGCAAAGCACACCAAAACCCCAAAGGATTTTCCTCTCCCTTCTTTTCTAGAAATCTCTGTTCTGCCCTTTAAATTAACATTTTGAAATATTTATGTAGAAATATGTGATATTCTCTTTTTCAGTTTATTGATGTCCCCATCAAGACTGAAAATATAGCTAAAAAAGCTTTTCTCAGATTCCATGGGGTAATGCTTCTGAAACTTTCTCATTTTTGATTGGATTGATTGCAGTAGCAAGAAAGTCTCTGATGTATTGATCTGTTAGATTGTTGAGAGTTTTTACCTCTATCAGCGATGTTCCTGGTGTCAGTAGGTCAATTCCAGTAATAACCACTACAGAAATTTGCAGTGTGTGCATAAGAGAGGAGGGAAAATTGCCCAACACCAATTCTTAACTTTTATTCACCCACAAGAGTTTCTTGGAGAGAGAAATTTTTTCACAGGAAAAGAAAAATTGAAAATGATGAGGCATTTATGTCTGAACTGTGATTTAAACAGGTTCTCATCTTCAGCATTTTACATCCCTGAATTGTGTGGAAAATCCCAGTAGTTACCTTCTCTGTACTTGGTCAGGAACTAGAGGTCTTAAAGTTACATTTGTCCCTCCTCACTGTATCCCATTTCTCTCTCCCACCCTTCACTTTCCTCTCAGAGAAAGGGTGTAGAGAAGTGGAGAAAGAACCAGATACATCCTTAGGACCACTGTGCTGTGTTTCCAGCTCCTTTTCATGGAAATGTGAAGTTGTGGTTATTGGAAAGTTTCAAACTACTGAGGGGAGGAGGTCTTAAGATTTCCATTATTTTACTGTTCATGTTGGGTTTTCTAGATTTCTTGTGTGCCTGAAGTGCACTTATCTATACTTAGATATAGATCTGTTGGATGGAAACCATGATGGGAGTAAAGAAGAAGGTAGGCTAAATGCCAAGATATAAAATTGAATAAGGGGATTTTATTGATAGCTATTTCATTGCATGTGTACCTGTGTACATTATGCCTTTTATTTCTTTGATAAAAACAGTATGATGCAGTTTGGAAGAGAAGAAAAAAGCACTTTTCTCACCTGAGAATTTGTTGGTCTTGAGTTCCTAAGGACTTGATTGCTGACGCGAAGTAGTAATCCTATTAAATGCTGTAACGTCACATCGGAGTAGGTTTTGGAAGTATCAGCAGTATTTCTAACATGTTAACCAAAGTTACTTTGGATAAACTATAAAAGATTTACTTCCTTTTAGGTGATGGATTGTTTTCTCCCACAGGGTAGCTGGAGCTTTGCCAGCAGGAGTTAAGGTTTTGCTCTGCCCGTTTCCTGGGGTGAACAGAGTGAAATTGCCCTTTGGCAGTTGCCTTTATCTCAAAATTCTACAGGCACTGAAAGGGGGATAACAGGTTGGAGGGGGAACAGAGGATCCTGGAGAGAAGTGAGGGATGTCCTCTGGCTGCATTTCTGTAGAAGGCATTTGCAAGGGAACAGAGAAATTATTTTAAATGTCATCAGTTTGAATGCAGTGTGTCTTGTCTTCTGGGTTTAAGAACTAAGTCTGAAGTGATTCTGTGTTGTCCCTTCATAAACAGGAGCTTTTAATCTCTTAAGAGATTTGAGGAACTATTTTCTTATCTGACCTTCTTTCATACATATCTCTAGGTTTCAACTCCATTTCTTTAGAAGTTTATGTAAACAAAGGCACATCTGTCATTCAGCTTTTTCTTACCAGATAGAGGTTTTTCTTTTTCCCCTAGTGCATTATTCACATTTTATTTCTTTGTCTTCTTACAGTTCTGTTATCTTGTAATGTGAAAGCCATGAACAAAGGACAGAAAAAAAGTATCAGAGAAATCTCACAGGGAAACAAACCTACAATGCTCAAACCAGTCCCAAATGGGGAAAGTAATCATGATGGCACCTGCAAATAGGAACCCAAAGGTCTGTTTCCAGGCGCTAAGGAGGAGTAGATGCTGGGTTTCAGTATACAGAGTAATCTGTGCTTAAAAGCTACAGTCCTATGTTTATTTATTCTGTCTTTAAAGGGCATGCAAAAGTACCTGCATATGCAGCTCCCTTTGAGCTTAATGAGTGTTCCTCACAAACATCAGAGGAGAGATGGGAACTGGGTGCATAGCCAGTGTGATAAGTAAGGGTTTAAGAATGGGGGTACAGTGTTTGAAAGAGAAGAGGTACTGAGCATTTCTCTTATGCTTTTATCTTGTTTCAGAGAATGAAGTGAGATGATGAAGGAATGCACCAATTTGCATTTCTTTATAGGTTGTTTTGTTAGTGTAGAGGAAAAAAAGCTATCTTCACCCTCATTTTACTCCCCAGATCTGATCAGGAGAGGTCAATAACTACACTACCTCCAGGGCAGGAGTGGAGCTATTTGCCTTGTGATAATATCTGCAAGACCTGCTGGAACTGGATCACACTAGTGGGGCTTTCTTTCATTAGGGACGTCTTTCATTGTGTAGTCCCTCTTGCAAAAAGTTTGTGCTCCAGATAGGCAGGACAAAGTGTGAGGGGAAACAAAGTAGTGATGACTGCCTTATCATCCTACAACAGGACAAAACACAGCTTGAAACAAAACCCTGCTGTCTTTAATCAGATATCCTTCCTTCAGAAACTCCAGAGCTTTGTCCCCGAAACCTGAGCTGCAGCTCCTGGTTCAGGGCCTGGAGCCAGTCCCTCCACCAGCACCGCATCAGGTTTGGGGATGGTTATATGGCTGTCCCACCTCAGCTCATGGGGGAGTGTAGGTGCAGCTGAGGCTCTGGACCCAACTCCAAACAACTTCTGTCCTTCATAGCCTTCCAGTCTGTTTTTTTTTAATTACCACGTAGAGACAGACGGTGATCACACAGGGTTCTTTTTTTGCTGCTGCTGAAGTGAGAAGGCTACTAAGGCTGACAGTGGCTCGTTATGTGATGGAGAGCCTTAGGAAACTAACCTTTGCCCTTCTATTACGTGATCTCTACGCCGCTGTTGAAGCGCCATCCTTGGCGTGACCCCAGGTGCCAGCAGCAGCTCGCTGTTGCCTGGACGTGGGCCCTTGGTGCTCAGGAGCTCCAGGGTCACACGTACAGCACTGCCTGCTGCCATTAAGGGAGCACACAGGAAGCTGGGCAAAACTCTTGGACAAGAATGGACTCTTTCAAGCAGGATGCTGTAACAGTCACTTTGTAAGGTGAAGCCTGCTCATAGAGAGAACCTGAGGGGGAAGAAAATGGAGCTCCCTTCTGCCACAACTGCCCAGCTTAGCCCAGCAGCTCTTCAACTTCCATCCTTTTTCATAAACTGTGCAGGCTGCAGGGACTGTCACTGTTCTTGATGATCCTTGGGGTCCCCTCAGACACAACCCACCCCACGTACCAGGGTGTGGTGCAGAGAAGCCATCTTTATACTGGCATAAACCTTGTCTGCAGTGAGCTCTAATAGAGAGAAATTATGTTTATAAAGGCACAGAATTGTTCCAGATTACTTCAGTGCACTGAAGCAATGTTCAGATTTGCAAATCTGCTTACAATTAACCTCTCTGGAGGGAGGGAGGGAATGCAGGGAAATCATCATGAAGAGGAGAGAATCTGGTTTCTGTGCTCTGTATTTGTTGTGTTTTTTTTTAACTTGCCCAGAAATGTCTGTTACTCTTTGTCACAGACTTGAGTCTTATAATATTTAAATGTTCATGCTTCTTGGAACATATGATTACATTCTGCTACCAAACAATGAAATGAATGGATTTGCTTATTTTCGTTCTGGTAGAAATTGGCAAGCAGGAAACATCAGCTTGAGGATCTGTCATGTTTGTATTTTTTATTTCTCTTTAATTTTTTTCAGACTCCTTAATGAAGCATGATTCCATCTTCAGTGAGTGGCTAAGTAGAGGGCTAGCCTGCATAGTTGCATTTGAGAAGTTCATGCAGATTTCACTGACGTCATTTTAAAGTGAATTAATTAGAATGCATGCAATCTTTATTTAGATGTTAGTACGAACTGAACTGGGATTGTTTTATTCTTTTTAGCCAGCAGGAAGCACTGGATTTAGGAATTGTTTCTGCTTTGCTACAGGCTAGATTTTTAACTGGATGCCTAAATACCACACAGTGGCTGGGGGCTTTTTCAAAAATTCCAGAGTAGTTGCCTTGCCTGTTAACTCGCTTTCTCGAGAGGCAGGAGCTAAATATCAGAGTGGAAATCACAAACCCCTGAATTCTGTTCTGGGACTAATTCCTGTCTGACTATTCTGTCTTTCCTATCTTGCAAGGTGAAAATTATGTCTTTTCACAGGGGCTGGGAGACCTTGTATTGCAAGTGCTTTGAAAGTAGAAAGATGTAAACTGTGAAAATACCAATTAAATTAAGAACTGGAGAATATAGATAGTGGGGAAGCTATGCCCAAACCATAGAGATCACATATCTTTCATTTTGTTTATTAAGGATGGATTGTTTTGGAGATTTTTTTCAGTTGCTGATCAGATAGGAAAGCTTGTCTTTTTTCTTTTCAGGCTGACAAATTGGGAACTTTTAAAAGGTAATGCCAAACTCTCAATATCACTGATGGGGAGATTTTTTTAAGATGAGAGTGAAGCTAATGGGGAAGGCTCTTCCTGCAACAAAAACCACAGTGCTCTAGTGTCAGCCTGTACTCTGCCAGGGATAATGCACACTTTGTTATGCTGGGTGGCTGAAAATTATCTACATACAATTAAAATTCTCTTGTGG